CAAGTTTTCCTTAGTGAGCCTCTAATTGGAGGCAAAGTTCTTTGAAGATTCAGTCATCCATACTCGTTTCTCTGTGTTATTTCGTCGGAAACAACTATATTTTAATATAGAACTAACGTAGCATTTACATAACATATCAAAGCCACTTGATCTTTCAGTGGGCGCTATCAGAAAAGAGCATGTTTCCGCCATTTTGGCAGTGGCAAAAGGTGGCTTCACTTGTGCTCGCAAAGCATTGCAGGAGCTTCCACTCCAGCAATTTTTTAAATCCTCCTTGACCCCAACAGGGGCCTTTAAGGGAAAATAAATGGTGATGAGGATGATTGCCTCAAACGATAGCGCGAAGAGCCTATGCGCTCGACTAATCGGCGCTACGCAAAAAAATGTGAGTCTCTTGTATAATTTTGCTGTTTCTTCCAGCTTCACTGTGTTATAATTACTGCCCGTATACACGAGTCAGGAGAATAACTAAATGCGGCACCTTTTATTAAGAGACGTCGTGGCCTTTAGCGGTAGCCTTTGTTCCACGGCTCCTCAACCACTTTCTTTTTTGCTCTCTCTCTCTCTCTCTCTCTCTCTCTCTCTCTCTCTCTCCTTGTACGAGCTTAAGTGTAGTCAAATTTGAAGGTTCGAGTGACCTCATTCCAACGACCTTCCCAGATGTAGCCGGAAAGAGTCTTACTGTGAAACCAAACCCCGGCTGGCATAGCATGGCAGGAGGAAACTTCACTTCTCCCCCTCCCCCAGCTTTCAAAATCCTTAACCGCAACTATGGGCTTAACGTTCTCACGGCCCTCAATCGTGGCGAACGCAGCGACGTCATTTAGAGAAAGCACACCGTCGCATCGGTTTCCTTCCGAGGTCGTTCAAATTGGCGCTGCGCGTGGCCGGCCGACAAAGCAGCGACGGGCCTCAGGATGCGCCCGCGCAGTGGCTGTTGCACGCAGGAAAGATATTTCACTGCGCGCACGTACCGCCTCGATGTTTACGTGAAAACGTGATTCCGCAATGCCTGGACGCCAACGATGGTTTGCTCGGTCTTTTATTTTTCGTTTTTTTTTTTCTCGCTATTTCTTTCTTTCGATATATGTTTTCTTGGTGTTTTGGTGGAAGCGAGCGTTGCGCCGAGCGTGTGATACCGTGGCGTATTGGACACGCAAGCGTGGCCTTGAGGGAAAGTAGCACAAGAATCCCGGAGCGCCGCCATCCGGCCTGTGTAGACACCCCCGCCCCCCCATCTTCCTTGCTTCCTGACTGAGCAGCACTTCAAGCAATTTCGAACCTTCCTGTGCGCATGCTAAGGCGGCGCTCGGCGTAATCACTGTGCATGACAATCGCCGACCACGGCGGACTCACGATTGTATGATCACAATGCATGGATCGATGCGAGCGTGAGAGAACCACTTGACTCGAAGACGGGCTTCACTATCGGAGCTTCGGCAGGGGTTACAATGCGAGTTACGCACGACTGACCGTCGTTTCCTCCTTCTGTTAATTGCTTCATCATTCTGTTGATTCCCTCGTTTACCTCATCTTCTCGCACGTTATTTTGATTTCAGCTATCCATATGATTACGAAAGTCAAAGGACACAGAATGTGTGACATGTGTTACTGTATTGTTTATTCCGAATTGAACTAAGTCACTAAATTCAAAAGGGGTTCCTGAACGAAGCAATTTTATAGAGACAAAAAAGCTCGCCTAATGGAAAGTAAGAAGGGCCCTTTATTTAACCTAATCGAGTACATTTTAAATAAGACAATATGCGAAGCAGGACAGAAAGCCCTCGCCGATGAGCGCAATTGTCTCGGTGAAAGTAAATTTTTCATCTTCCCTGGAATTCACTTAGGTGATGGAAAACGAACTTGACTCACCTCGTTAGGATAACAGGCTTGTCAACGCACGCTAGCTGATAGCTCAAAGCAAAGTCTCGTTGCTGTGCCAGTAACAAATAGAGGAAAGTTGGACGAATATTATGAAAAGGGTTCACTAACAAATATACTTGGCTTCACTTCGATTGCAAATACAAACTTATAAAAAAGCTACTTAAGCTACCTGGCTAAAAGCGAAGCACTATTACAAAACGCAATTAAAGTTGCATTTTCTAAACAGCCAGCAGCAAAGGCGCCTGGGAGTCTCAGTGATTTCCGGCTGCCTGAAAGTGATTTCAGGCGCGGCCTGTGGTGCCTGGGAGCAAGAAATAAGATCATGATAATGGGAATCAGCAGCGAAATGCGTTTCCATCAATAATCGCGCGCAATCACGAGTGACAAAAATTGTGAGGCATTTGTGAACGCCTTGAATGGATGCTTCATGCCACTGCTTCTCGTTTGCGATTAACAGTAGCCCACCGGGTTTCTCACGGTCGTGGGGATAATCCAGGTCATGGCGGCAGCGACTCGCTTTCACGAAAGGCAAGGTTGTACTGCATAAAAGGCCTCAGCGTAAAACAAACACAAAAACAACTGAGTAATGCACACCTATACAACAAGTGATCCTTCCGCAAATGCCATAAAATCCACTCTTTCCGTGAGAAGATGATAAATATGCCAGGAAAGACGCAAACGTTGAAGACAGGTGGCGGTGCTGTTTTGAAAGAGGCGTTCCAACCCTGCCCTTATGTCACGAATTTTCATAGTGCCTGCCTGTGCCTATAGTTCGCTTGTTCTCGCTAGAGAGAGTAGGAAGGTAGTAGGTGTGAATAGATAGATAGATAGATAGATAGATAGATAGATAGATAGATAGATAGATAGATAGATAGATAGATAGATAGATAGATAGATAGATAGATAGATAGATAGATAGATAGATAGATAGATAGATAGATAGATAGATAGATAGATAGATAGATAGATAGATAGATAGATAGATAGATAGATAGATAGATAGATAGATAGATAGATAGAATAGATAGATAGATAGATAGATAGATAGATAGATAGATAGATAGATAGATAGATAGATAGATAGATAGATAGATAGATAGATAGATAGATAGATAGATAGATAGATAGATAGATAGATAGATAGATAGATAGATAGATAGATAGATAGATAGATAGATAGTAGATAGATAGATAGATAGATAGATAGATAGATAGATAGATAGATAGATAGATAGATAGATAGATAGATAGATAGATAGATAGACAGACGGACGGACGGACGGACGGACGGACGGATGGATGTATGGATGGATGGATGGATGGATGGATGGATGGATTTCCATGCACTGGAAGAAAAGGAATATGAGATGAAAAATGGCAGCATATCCACGGAGTGATAGATGGAGAGTGGGGCGAAGAATTCGTCCGCCCATTCGTTCTTGCTTCCGTCCGTCCATGCGTCCGTCAGTGTGACCGTCCATGCGTCCATCAGCCCGTCCGTGCGTGCGTCTGTTCGTGCGTCCGTCCCTGTGTTCGTCCATGCAGCCGCCCCTGCGTCCGTTCATGCGTCCATCCATGAATCCGTCTATGTGTCCGTTCGTCCATCTATTCAACACTCCAAGTACCACCATCTCGCATCTTTTCATCATATATTCCCCATATAGAAGCACCGCCATCCAGCGGACATTCCAAGGACTAAACGAGAGGTGGCACACGCACACTTTCTTACGGATTGCGCTTCGGGTCCACTTCCCACCTTTAACCACCTCGAGTTCATGGTATATACTAGTTCACTGTGTTTATGGCACTGCGGCCGAACGCTCGCTAAACCTTTCGAAAACCAAGGAGGTTACGCCCAGCGAGTATGACGTAGCAAGCTTTTTCAGTCAGATAGTGCTCAATGTACATACCAATGGCTGCTAATGGGAAATGAGAGGCGGAGAATTCGGCTTTTACTTTCTTACGGCTTGCGCTTCGTATCTACTTCCCGTTTTTAACCACCTCGAGTTCATTCATGGTATATACAAGTTCATTGTATTCATGGCACTGCGGCTCAACGCTCGCTAAACCTTTCTAAAGCTAAGGAGGTTACACCCAGCGAGTATAACGTAGCAACCCTTTCTTGTCAGATAGTGCTCAATGTACATGCCAATGGCTGCTAATGGTGATCGCAGCCTGCGCGTTAACTAAAAACCAAATGCTCCTGTATTTCATTCCCCATTAGCAGCCATTGACATGTACATTGAGCACTATTTTTTATTGTTCAACAACGCACAGAAGAAGTCTCTCACCCGCACCACCTTGGGGGTCAAAATGTTATACTTGTTACATACTACAGAGGACGAACGGGTGCCGCTATAAGGAGATTCGCCCCTAAAAAAGAAAAAAGAACGATGAGCGCAGCATCACTCGAGAATGGATATTGACACCGCAGCTTGTCACTAGGAACTGCAGTGTTCACAATCGAAACAAATAAATAAAATACAGAAGTGATTTGCTGAGTTTGAGGTCTCTGTTCTTGGCATGGTGCTGGGAACAGCACGGACAAAACATCCGAAGTTCGAACTGGCTGCCTTAAAAGGGATCCTAGTTATGCGCAAGCTTCGGTGCTTCTGGTTGTACGAGACGGTCTTATTTTAAATAAGAAAGAGCACTTTTGGGTTCCTGACGTCGTGCGGAAGCATTGGCGCAGGATTTAGGAGCTGCATTAACGAAATGATTCCATTCTTCATTTTTCTACGAATTTTCGGTCTACTTTATCACAATTTATAAAATAAACTTACGAAAGTGGCGTTCTCATAAAAACATTGTGTTTGTCCTTGCTCGCGCCTGAAACCCGCTTTGATAGTTCGATGCAACTTAGCTCGCCATGCCCAAACTTTCGTGAACATACCGCAGTCGTAGTCTCTCCCAAGCCGAGCTGTAACAACTTATGTGGCAACCCGCTTTTGTGGCAGCGCCAAAGCAAACAGCTCAATTCTTAGGCAAGAGGTGCGCGATTTCCATATTTATGAACGAATGACTACCCTGGCTGCCCTCTGACACATCACGTACTTTACCTTGAGCGACAGCAGCGAGGTGCTAAGTGACGAGCGAAGCTCCTTCCTATACGCGTCATGTTACGGCCATCCAGGACGTCCTCCCTATAACGCGGTATCCGCAACACTCATCCCACTCGCCTAACACAACGTCTTGGTGGTAAGAGGAACTTTCTTTACCTTATTTTGCACATTACCGTTCCCAATGATGTCATCGAAGTTCTAGACGTTGGTCCCGTGATGACAGAGGTCATTCCTTGATGTATCGGTAACGCGTTCGTTTTGACACAACCCATGTAAGGGAACGTGGCAGCAGCAAGCCGGGTTGGTCGGCGGAACGCGGCAGCGGCTTGCGAACTTGACGTGGCCGTAGTCAGGACGATCATGGTGGTGGTGGCGACAATAATGTAAGGACGGATTTCTCAGAAAGGAAAGTCATGGCGGGTGTTGGCTCAAGTTGAAGAAAAGGTCGCCTGGGGTTAGAACCCAGGGCCAACGCCATTCCGTGGTGGTCGATTTACCAATTAAGCTTACCAGGATGCTAGCAATGGGCAGTGTCATTGCTAATTAGTCAACGATTCAAATCACCTAAGCATACATAATGCTGCGAATGAGTTCGGCGGAAACTCGCAAAATGTGGTGGAAGGATTAAAAAGGCCCTATTTGGCAACAACTATATATATATATATATATATATATATATATATATATATAGTGGGAGTAACAATTCAATGGGCCAGTTAGTCTTCGTGAAGGTATGGGATATGGCACAACGGGAGCGTTGTCAACAAGGATAAATATATTTATTTCCCAACAGTTTCGGGAGGGGTCCTCCCTTCATCAGGGGATGAGTAATATATATATATATATATATATATATATATATATATATATATATATATATATATATATATATATATATATATATATATATATATATATATATATATATATATATTTATTTATTTATTTATTTATTTATTTATTTATTTATTTATTTATTTATTTATTTATTTATATGGGGTTGCGTGTCCTAAAACTCACGATGCGATGCAGGTTGTAGTGGGAGATTTAGCGTAAACTTTGACCACTGGAGTCTTCTAACGTGCCGCTAACCTATTGCACAGGCCCCGCCATGGTTGTCTAGTGGCTAAAGTACTCCGCTGCTGATCCGCAAGTCGCGGGATCAAACCCAGGCTGTGGCGGCTGCATTTTCGATGGAGGCGAAAATGCTGTGGACCCGTGTGCTCACATTGGGCCGCACTTTAAAGGTCCCCATGTTGTCGAAATTACCGGACCCCTCCGCTATGGCATCTCTCATAATCATATGGTGGTTTTGGGGAAGTCAAGCCCTTCATATCAGTCAACCTATAGCACAGAAGCTGTAAGAGCAGGCGATACGTGTTACAATCATAATCTTCAGAATGAAGTCGTCGGTGTTTTTATTCTTGAGTGCATTTATTCCTAAAATAATGACGTACACGAAAACAAACACTGCTCCAGTAAGAAGCGCTGCAGCTGACGATCTCCCTAACATGTATACTTTCAACCACTTAGCGATTGTTACGTAGACGTGAACATTATAACCTCGGTGAATTACGACCATTTTCGCCGTCCCATTGCAACCAACGATGACTAGAATACAGTTTACCATATCTACGCCCCAAATGACGAGTCACTTGGCCCATATGCGAACGACGAAACAACGTAGCCTAATCGTTGTACAAAACGCCTAACCATCCCACCAAACGACTACCTGCAAAACCAGCCCGTGATATTGCTTTACGATCCAGCCATAAAGACTGAACTTCGGTGTGCAGAACGAGCCGTTTCATTCTGAGCACGCTTCCGTGAGCGGAGCGTACAGCAGAGCGGAGGGAGCAACGGCAACTCGTTCACGCAGGCCGTCTCGTGCTCGGCGGTCGTTTTCGACGGCGCCAGCGCTAGCGCTAACTGTTCCAAGGTCGTCCGCGCTGGGCACGCTCTCCGAACTGCCCTTGATACCGACGACGTTGGCGGCGGTGGTATGCAGCGCCTCGTCATACTCGAAGCGACGCCTGCAACCAACCAAATCGAAAAAAAAAAAAAAAACGCCGTAACGCGCTCGTTACGACACGCGCGCAAACACGCCTCACTTGCGGGTTGCAATATCAACAGCATACAAATCCACCGCCGCACGCTGCAGGGGCCCCGTTGACACACAATCGCCAATCGCCGATGCGCCCGGCTCTCGCGTCTCGCCGTTACTCTTTCTCCTTCGCTATTACTCCTCTCGTTTTATTCTCTTCTTCTTTTTTTTTTCTTTTTTCGTGCAATTCTGCGGTGGTCCATTTTTCTTCCGCAGCACGTCCGACTATCCGAGCGGCGCACTGTCTGATTTGCGTAATCCCCCCACCAGACAAGCACTTTGAAGAGAGAGAGTGAGTGGGGGATCTAGACGTTTAGTATGGAAGCCCGTCGGGGCGTCGGACTCGCGCGTCACGTCGTGCAGAGGGTCATTGGCTCAGGTTCACGCCTTCTCGCCGACGTTTCCGTTGACTGCTCGCGTGTGTGTGCTCGTAAAGTGAGAAGTTTCGAGACTGCATTTTTTTTCTATGGGCGCGTACTGAACGCCAAGCATGCTTGCGCCCGATCCCCGCCTCTCCCCCTCCTTTTCTCCATGGCTGAGAAGTAATGACCGATGGAATGCGAGTTTGCATTCCCCGAGACCGCGGCCTGCGTGTCTGAAGTATGTATCGAACGAATTGCATGCGCTTGTTCGTCGGCTTTTATCCAAAGTGGATTGCCCTTTCCTTCTGGCGTTACCCGCCGCTGTGGTACAGTGGCCATGGTGCTTGACGGCTGAAGCAAACAAAGGTCGTGGGATCGAATCCTGGCCGCGGCGATCGGGTTTTTGATGGAGGCGATAATGCCTGAGGCCCGCGTACTAAGGTTTAGGTGCACGTTAAGGAACCCCAGCTGGGCGTAATTTCCAGAGCCCTCTCCTATACGGCTTCTCTCATAATGATATGGTAGTTTCATGACGTTAAACACCAACAATTAGTATTCCTATGGCATTTGTGTCACCGCCACGCCAATGCCAACACAGTATTGCTTTTTCCGTTGCTTCGCGACCACCGTCAACAAAATTCTTGCTGACTTTCGCCTTCGTATGGTGCTCTCTTTAACTAAAGTCTCACAAGGTGCTTTGCGCATTCACCTGAGACCACTCAAAAACAAAAAACAAGCCAATGAGGCTATAATACCGTGTACTTTACATTACGCGAACGAAGCTCTTTAAATGTAATTACCTATAAGCGAACGCCGTACAGACAAAAATAAACGTCAGACAAATAAACAAAACAGACAAATAAACAAAATATTCATTTTTTCTTACGCCAGCGTTTCGTTCAGTACACCTTTTCCTTAAAATAGACGTCGTATGTTGCTCTTGATTTTCTGCTCATAGCATTTCGATGTGATGCTGTTTATGTCAATTACGTTTACACTTTGTTATGATTAATTACATATGCATGTTTATGGGCCAAAAATAACGAAGCCTTTGAAGAGACAATCAGACCCTCGACTAGAATAAGAGCTTGTTTTTAATAGTTTATGTAAACAGGTGTCTGTTAACGTTCAGTCAAAATCAAAGGTACGGAGAGTGCGTAAATTGGGAAGAAAACGATATTGTAGCAAATTGATCGATTGCCTGATTGATTGAAAACACTTAAATGTTGTAGCTTATGCCGTAGGAAATTAAATGGTACAGCCCAAGCCGTGGTCACAGCCACAACCAAACCGAACATAACCAAAGACATAACCGAAAGATGAGAACTGACGAGTATTTAACTTAGAAGTGTGGCAGCTTGGGCTAGTTGGTATGGCATGACGATAGTTTTGGCCCCCTTATGGCAACACGTTTCGGCCCCCTTATGGCAACATTGTTCTCCAAGAAACGTTGTACAGAGTAAAGCTTCGTTAATTAGACACACTTTAAGTTTGGGAAATCGGGTCATTTGTACGTGCTTTCGTCGTGTCCCGTCGAGCACACGGATTGTTTAATGTGAAGAAATTCTCGTCAGTTCGGTCATATTAGGCCTCAACTTGGTCGAATTCAGACAATCCTCGGAGGGTGCCGACACGATAACGGCGTTTGCGAACAGATGAAATGGCCGCGGGCATTCAGAAAGGCATGGTCGTAATCCGCAATTGCGTTTTTCGTACATAATAAGGTACGAGTTCAGAGCACGTTTCGGACTGAGAGGTGGATGCCTTGAGTTGATTTGATTGATTTGTGGGGTTTAACGTCCCAAAACCACCATATGATTATGAGAGACGCCGTAGTGGAGGGCTCCGGAAATTTCGACCACCTGGGGTTCTTTAACGTGCACCCAAATCTGAGCACACGGGCCTACAATATTTCCGCCTCCATCGGAAATGCAGCCGCCGCAGCCGGGATTTGAACCCGCGACCTGCGGGTCAACAGCCGAGTACCTTAGCCATTAGACCACTGCGGCGGGGAATGGATGCCTTGAGTCACGTTCGCACTGTGAACTACACGAAAATGGCGGTTGCGCACTGCTTTTCGTATGCAAAATAGTTACTGGATTTACGTATCCCTGAAAAAAAAAAGAAATGAAAGACGATTGATGTAACAGACATTTACTTGATGTTTTCTGGATACTTTCGATAATTTTCTCGATAGTTTCGATAATTCAGACAGTTTTTTTTAATGTTTGATTGATATTTGGTGTTTAACGTCCCAAAACCACCATTTGATTGCGAGAGACGCCGTAGTGGAGGGCTCTGGATATTTCAATTACCTGTGGTTTTTTTAACGTGCACGTCAATTTGAGCACACGGGCCTACAGCATTTTCGCCTATATTGACAATGCAGCCACCGCAGCCGGGATTCGATCCTGCGACCTGCGGGTCAGACGCCTAGTACCTTAGCCTCTAGGCCATCGCTGCGGGTCTAATACGGGCAGTTCTTCCAGCCCCGTCAATTCTGTGTTAGCGAGCTTTTACTGAATATTGAAGTTCTCTTGATCAATGTCTCGGCTGAAAATTCCACCAGACAAACGCCAGGAGCCGTCGAGAGACAGGAAAGTTTATTGCTAACTGGTAACAACATTCCAGGTGAGTACAGCTGTCTGGTGTAACAAAATCACTTCAGTG